GGTCTATAGTAACTATAAAAACTGATTTATCCAGAATGATCTTTAGATGAGGCATTGGGAAAATGTCAGAAAGAAGTAAGGCATTTACTGTCTCTATCAGGTCAGATTCTAGACACACTTTTTAAAGAAGGATGTGGGTCTAGTGTCAATATCAACTAGATAAGTTGATCCAGGAACATTACTTGGGGAGATCAGAGTGACGTTCAAGACACGCATGTGGCATATGTGGATGTTTTAAGGTGCTGCACTGTTTTGCCATCAGTTGTCTTAAAGTTAGCCATAGTGACTATCCTACGCTGGTGTGGTGGGGTCAGACTAACCTTGGAGATACAAGAGGACCTGGTACCTGCCATTTTAATGTTATTTTATCACTGAAAAGCGTTAATGTATTTGGGTTGGGTTGTGAATATTTGCAGTTTGTTGTAAGTATTTGTAAGTATTTGAATATAGTATTTGGTTGTGTTGTGAGTATTTGCAGCACATTTCTGTATTTGCTTGGGTCTGATTTTTTTGTTGGTTGCGAGTATTTGCAGTTTCTGTATTTAGTTGTGTGGTGAGTATTTGCAATGTGTTTCTGTATTTGGTTGGGTTGTTTTTGGTTTGGTCTGATTTATTTTTGGTTATGAGTATTTGCAGTGTGTTTCTGTATTTGATTGGGTTGTGATTATTTCCAATGTGTTTATGTATTTGGTAAGGATGTGAGTATTTGCAATGTGTTTCTGTATTTGGTTGTGATGTGAGTATTTGCAGCACTTTTTTGTATTTGATTGCATTGTGAGTATTTGCAATGTTTCTGTATTTGGTTGGGATTTGAGTATTTGCAACGTGTTTCTATTTGGTTGGGATATGAGTATTTGCAATGTGTTTCTGTATTTGGTTGGGATGTGAGTATTTGCAATATGTTTCTGTATTTGGTTGGGATATGAGTATTTGCAATGTGTTTCTTTATTTGGTTGGGATGTGAGTATTTGCAATATGTTTTTGTATTTGAATGGGATGTGAGTATTTGCAATGTGTTTCTGCATTTGGTTGGGACGTGAGTATTTGCAATGTGTTTCTGTATTTGGTTGGGATGTGAGTATTTGCAATGTGTTTCTGTATTTGGTTGGGATGTGAGTATTTGCAATGTGTTTTTGTATTTGGTTGGGATGTGAGTATTTGCAATGTGTTTTTGTATTTGGTTGGGATGTGAGTATTTCCTGCACTTTTTGTATTTGATTGCATTGTGCGTATTTGCAATGTGTTTCTGTATTTGGTTGGGATGTGAGTATTTGCAATGTGTTTCTGTATTTGGTTGGGATGTGAGTATTTGCAATGTGTTTTTGTATTTGGTTGGGATGTGAGTATTTGCAATATGTTTTTGTATTTGAATGGGATGTGAGTATTTGCAATGTGTTTCTGCATTTGGTTGGGATGTGAGTATTTGCAATGTGTTTCTGTATTTGGTTGGGATGTGAATATTTGCAATGTGTTTCTGCATTTGGTTGGGATGTAAGTATTTGCAATGTGTTTTTGTATTTGGTTGGGATGTGAGTATTTGCAATGTGTTTTTGTATTTGGTTGGGATGTGAGTGTTTGCAATGTGTTTCTGTATTTGGTTGGGATGTGAGTATTTGCAATGTGTTTTTGTATTTGGTTGGGATGTGAGTATTTGCAATGTGTTTCTGTATTTGGTTGGGATGTGAGTATTTGCAATGTGTTTTTGTATTTGGTTGGGATGTGAGTATTTGCAATGTGTTTTTGTATTTGGTTGGGATGTGAGTATTTGCAATGTGTTTTTGTATTTGAATGGGATGTGAGTATTTGCAATGTGTTTCTGTATTTGGTTGGGATGTGAGTATTTGCAATGTGTTTTTGTATTTGGTTGGGATGTGAGTATTTCCTGCACTTTTTGTATTTGATTGCATTGTGCGTATTTGCAATGTGTTTATGTATTTGGTAAGGATGTGAGTGTTTGCAATGTGTTTCTGTATTTGGTTGGGATGTGAGTATTTGCAATGTGTTTCTGTATTTGGTTGGGATGTGAGTATTTGCAATGTGTTTCTGTATTTGGTTGGGATGTGAGTATTTGCAATGTGTTTCTGTATTTGGTTGGGATGTGAGTATTTGCAATGTGTTTTTGTATTTGGTTGGGATGTGAGTATTTGCAATGTGTTTTTGTATTTGAATGGGATGTGAGTATTTGCAATGTGTTTCTGTATTTGGTTGGGATGTGAGTATTTGCAATGTGTTTTTGTATTTGGTTGGGATGTGAGTATTTCCTGCACTTTTTGTATTTGATTGCATTGTGCGTATTTGCAATGTGTTTATGTATTTGGTAAGGATGTGAGTATTTGCAATGTGTTTCTGTATTTGGTTGGGATGTGAGTATTTGCAATGTGTTTCTGTATTTGGTTGGGATGTGAGTATTTGCAATGTGTTTCTGTATTTGGTTGGGATGTGAATATTTGCAGCACGTTTCTGTATTTGATTGCATTGTGTGTATTTGCAGCGCATTTCTGTATTTGGTTAGGTTGTGAGTATTTGCATAGCATTTCTGTATTGGTTGTGTATTGGTTTCTAGTGTTTTTTTTTTCAATTTGTATGTGTTTTCTTCAGTTGTAGCACATTGAGCTCTCTCGGCCACCATACTTAACCCAAATAACTATGGTCGCCTATTAAATGTGTTTATATTTGGACTATTTTAGACCGAACGGGACGACAACTGCTGCGGAGTAGCCCAGTACCTACGTGACACTAAGTACTAGGGGTGTAACGGTACACAAAAATCACGGTTCGGTATGTACCTCGGTTTTAAAGTCACGGTTCGGTACGTTTTCGATACAGCAAAAAGAAAGAAATGCCAGAGAAATTTCCTATTTGTTTAAAGAAAAAATATTTTTAAATTAGTGTGAGTTTTCCTAGATCTTGAAACTTTCAGGTTTATAAATGGGAGTCTTCTTTGAAGGATGAACAAATAATGTTTTGGTCATAACATTAAAAATAACATTGAAATATATATTATATTTAAACTATATATATAGTTTAAAATATTCTGACTTACTCCCCAGAGTGAGTTTTAATTTTAGAACGTTCCCCCTTAAATGTTTCCATGGCAACGCGTCATATTTGTCACGTGACACCATAGCCACAATAATGAATGACAGATGTGTATCACTTTTATTTCGTTTTTCCTTTTTTATTTAAAATATTCACAAACTTGCTTACCGTGTCATCAACTATCTGATTTTCCGATTGTCAAAAATGTGTAAGTGAGTGTGGTTGGTCATTTAAAACCTTTATAAATAATCTTGATCTTGATCTATAACGTGAGATGGACGACACGTTTATTTGCGCCGCAGTTCAGAGAGTCCTGTCAGTCATCACCAGTTTCTCCCGAAATATATGTAAAGTGGCCGGTGAAATGTGAGAAGAATAAAGTAAACTTTATAGTCACTTCCACTATGTTTGTCTGATATGAATAACACACGTTGGCAAATTATATTTGAATAGATTGTTATTGCTGCTTCCACAGACATCCGTGTGTATTTTACAAACTCCAAATGTACTGTTTTACTAGTGCTTAAGTGAATTTCAATGTCTGAAACATAAAATAAACATTATGAAGTTGAAACACTGCATAGTTTTGATAGCCTATATGACAGCGCTGTCCGTCTCTGGCTCAGTGCCAACCAAAGCGCGAATCTGATAGTGATGTCACGTCACTGAACATTATACATCCCATATGGGACTGTACCGTTCTAAAGGTTAAACATTTCATTTGTAAACATGAATACAAAAATTAAACTGAGGGGGCACAAATCAGATCTGAGGGGGCAATGCCCCCTTTTTCCCCCTCGTGGCGCCGGGCCTTAAGCAATCGTTCGGTTTGTATGCGTATCGAACCGGAAGCCTCGAACCGAAACGGTTCAATACGAATACATGTACCGTTACACCCCTACTAGGTACTAAAAGTTACAAATTAAGAGCTTTTCAAAAAGACTCATGTTTCTGCAGGCGAAGTTGTTGAGGTCAATTGATTTCACAGAAATCAAACACAGTATACCAGCATAGAGACTAAACTCACACCATTTTACAAGGCGAAAATGCACTGCTTATGTGTTTTCACAACTCAAAAAAGATGCATCACTTATAACACCCAGCAAAGTGTGTCAAAATGAAATGTACAAAAGCAGAAGCAGAAGCAAGCCTGGAAGAAAAATGCAAATTATAAATTATGTAGTGAAATTAGAAACTGTAGTCATGGTTGTTCAAAATACAAAAGAGACCATTGTTGTGAAGAATATCAGTGTTTGAAAACAGTAATGAGACTCAACAGGGACAGGTTTGTTGACCTGTTTGGGGTGAACAATGGGGCCCAGGACCAGGATACAAAACTACTGAGGTATACAGTATACTGATATACAAACGAGTTAATCCTGTATTCAGAAATGCATGAGATTAACTCGTGTAAACAGTGCTGGCATGTGGGGTTGTGTGGCCCTAGGCGAGATCATGTAAAAAGGCCCCACTGGAGTAAAAACTATCATAACAATTTTATGAGTGAATAGAAAGCACATAAAAAGACACTATTATTTTCAACATACATATGACAAAACTATTTTAAAGGTGCAAGTGAGCTTGAAAAATTAAACGTAATACATGAGCACTATGTACACGACTGAATACTGTACATGAGTACTGAGTACACGAAACACAAATAAAGAAAAACAAACTTTGTTGAATTGTAAATAAAAACAACTTAAAATATAAAATAAATAAATTATCTATAAAAAATAAATAAAAGGCTACAGATCGGTCAATATTTCAGTGTCTAAAAAGTGTGACATTCAACATACATATGTAAAAATATTTAAAGATCTTTAAACAAAGAAGAGTGCAAGGATCCTTTTCGTAAGGATAGTTTCTGACACCACTTAACACATTTACCCCTTTTGTGATTTTGACTGGAAATCTCTTGTGTCGTGCAAGACGCTCTTTCTCAAAAGACATGTTTTTACCTGCGTCTGTTTGAAAGCGACTCTTCTGTTTCATTGTTCATGAGAACATGAGTCGAACCACCTTGGCCTCCTTCGTGCATGACCTCAATCTGTGAGAATCCACAGGAAGACAGAAAATGTGTGTTAAAGAATCTAAATTTAAATAAAAACAGCGTTATGTATTCTGAACGTATAATTTGTAATGATAGATAAACTTTTTTATTAAATACAATCATTATTACATGCAAGAACTAAGGTAAAAATCTATTACAAAAGTCTTCTATAGACAATCTACAAACCAGTTATATTACGGCAATAATTATTTATCCCTTAAAGCAGTAAGTAAAGGATTAGTTTTATTTATTTATTTTTAATTTAATAACAGTTACTTATAATGGAACTGCATTATATACTCTAAAGACTATAGAGCTATTCTATATAAAACAATAATGGATTTAGCATTACAATTTAGCATCTAATGTTAAAATGTTAAAATGTATGTATTAAATACAATTATTATTACATGCAAGAACTAAGGTAAACATCTATTACAAAAGTCCTCTACAGACAATCTATAAACCAGTTATATTACAGCAATAATTATTTATCCCTTAAAGCAGTAAGTAAAGGATTACTTTTATTTATTTTTTTTTTTAAATTTAATAACAGTTACTTATAATGAAACTGCATTATATACTCTATAGACTATAGAGCTATTCTATATAAAACAATAGTGGATTTAGCATTAAAATGTAGCATCTAATGTTAAAATGTATGTTTTCAATGCTGTCTTCTCCTTTTAAATACTTTGGTCAGTTCATTAATAATTTAAGCAATTTTATATAATTTATTTAAAAAGATCCTGGAATCCTGAAACGTTTTCATCAAAAACCTTAATTTCTTTTCGACTGAAGAAATAAAGACGTGGACATCTTGGATGACATGGGGGTGAGTAAATTATCAGCAAAAGTATTTTTAAAAGTGAACTACTGTACTCCTTTAACACAGTAGTTGCAAAGTTACATGTAGTCAGTAGAATGTCTAAAATGCATTACTTAAAAAGTGTAACCTAACTAATCCCTAACTAAAACTAAATTTTTTTATACATGCAACTGCCTTTTAGACGTTTTTTTTTTTTTTTATTTCAAAGAAAGGCTGATGTACCTTGATTCCACCTTTGGCTTTGCGAATATTTTTCCTCCTTGCCAGCTCTGCATCACTGGGCTGCTTATTGGTACAGGAGTTCTCTGTAGCTTTGCGATTTGATGCTGTAGAACATAATTAAACAAGCTGGAAAGCCTTCATATTTACCACTTAAATACTTCAGGGTACAAAGTGTAACTTTCATTTTTTTTTTTTTTTTCCTGTCAGAAACATCAGCAAATCTGCATAAATGTGAGCACTGGTACTACAACAAGTGCATTAACTTGAACAAAACTTCACTCAAACTAAAAGTTTATGATCTTGAAATGAGGACATGCTTCTGGGAAAAACGTAGTAAGCATACAAAAAAGGACCACAAACCACTGGAATGGATTTCTGTGAAAATACAAAACTGGTTTACTCACCAGCTGCAGTGGGTGGTGGGGTTTTAGGTGAACTGCGTTTTGGTGAAGATTCTGGTCGAGGTGCAACAGGTTGCACTGGCCTCGTTTGCTTTGTAGACAGCTTTTTCAGACTTGCATGTCTTTTCTCAAACATCTCCTGAACATCATCTAGCCTTTTAAGAGCAGTTTGGGCTTTGCTCTGCAGGGAGGAAGACACAATAATTAATTGATAATAAATTGCTGGCTGCCTTTTCCATTTGTTGACATGGTTAGAGACAGATGGTAAATATCATATATATATCATCATATTTTAAAATGTTTTATTAATCATACCATTTAATAAAATATAATTTATTGTTCATACTGTAAATCTATATTCTAAATTTAAATGATTAAATCTAAATTATTATGGAATCTCCGTCAATGCTTTCAGAATCTTTAATTTTTAAAATCATTTTGTTTCTGTATTTTCTAAATATATTTATATTAGCATATTTTAATGACAGTATATTTATTTAACAAAAATCATTTATTTTTCAAAATAAACAGGCAGAAAAAAGTACAAACTTTGCTAAAGGGATTGTTTTGAACAAGTATTTACTAAAACATCATTTTTTGCCTAAAGTATTTGCATAAAAACTATGCCTTTTGCCATGCTGGTGAAGCTTTTACCCTGTGTGTGTGTGCTACTGTAAAAGGCAAACCTTGCAACCTCAAATGCATTTACTAACATCAACTAATGAAATGCAATGTGTTAGTGTTTATTAATCTTTGTTGATGTTAGTTAATACAAATATAGCTATTCATGTTAGTTCACAGTGCATGCATCTAATGTTACCTAAAACAACCTTTGATTTTATTAACATTTTAGTAAATGTTGGAATTTATATTAACATTAATGCATTAGAAGTATTGTTCATTCTTAGTACATGTTAACTAATGTAATTAACTAATGCTAACTAATAAACCTTATTGTAAGTGTTACCAACAAAACAAAACACTTTTTATTGTCTATTTTTATCAATGTTCAATAATGATATATATATATATATATATATATATATATTATTTGTTCTGCAATCATACACTATAGGAGCAGTGAAAAGAATGTTTCTTAAGGTGTGTCTTTAGCCCTGTTGTGTTGTGTTTTCTTAAAGCTGCAGTCTGCAGTTTTTCCTCTTTGTCGCAATCTCTGTTCAAAATCTGCAATTGCAGTCATTCGCAGAATTATTAACTTTACGTGAGCTGAAATTCGACACCCTCGACACGGCACAGCGCAGATGAACACAATGTTTGAGGAGAGTGTGAGGCTGTCAGTCACCACGCCACGTGATACTGGCATTCAGAATCACAGATTATTCTTTTTGGAAGTATGACCAACATAAGAATTTTCACTGTAAAATGTCATCTAAACATCCACTTTTGTTCTAGTTCTGACATTTCAGTAAATCGATTATGATTAACTCTAACAATCGCTTATAAGTTATCATATCACTTTGTTCTCAAATTTTTCATGTTAACAACGTAAGCAAGCATTGCGTGACTACATGTAATGTCCTTTTTCGATATGTGTCCTTGTTTTCGCATGGGTCCGGTTGCAGTCTCTATTTTTCTGTACCCACTCCGAAGTCCGAACGAAGTCTTTTAAATTTTACAATGAGTGAATCTGTTGTCACTGGTGATTGTCGTTTGAAGTATCATCTTGTCGTTTGGTGATTGCCATCAAATTGATACTTTTAATTATATCAAATGCTGTGAGAAAACGCTATAAATCTCCACCTCCAACATCCTCACTCGCAATATAGCCTACTAGCCGAGACTCTTCTTTATGTGTACGGATGTGACGTAATGACTCAATATAGCCTACTAGCCGAGACTCTTCTTTATGTGTACAGATGTGACGTAATGACTCAATATAGCCTACTAGCCGAGACTCTTCTTTATGTGTACAGGTGTGACGTAATGACTCAATATAGCCTACTAGCCGAGACTCCTTCTTTTTGTGTACAGATGTGACGTAATGACTCAATATAGTCTACTAGCCGAGACTCTTCTTTATGTGTACAGGTGTGACGTAATGACTCAATATAGCCTACTAGCCGAGACTCTTCTTTATGTGTACGGATGTGACGTAATGACTCAATATAGCCTACTAGCCGAGACTCTTCTTTATGTGTACGGATGTGACGTAATGACTTAATATAGCCTACTAGCCGAGACTCCTTCTTTTTGTGTACAGATGTGACGTAATGACTCAATATAGCCTACTAGCCGAGACTCTTCTTTATGTGTACAGGTGTGACGTAATGACTCAATATAGCCTACTAGCCGAGACTCCTTCTTTTTGTGTACAGATGTGACGTAATGACTCAATATAGTCTACTAGCCGAGACTCTTCTTTATGTGTACAGGTGTGACGTAATGACTCAATATAGCCTACTAGCCGAGACTCTTCTTTATGTGTACGGATGTGACGTAATGACTCAATATAGCCTACTAGCCGAGACTCCTTCTTTTTGTGTACAGATGTGACGTAATGACTCAATATAGCCTACTAGCCGAGACTCCTTCTTTTTGTGTACAGATGTGACGTAATGACTCAATATAGCCTACTAGCCGAGACTCCTTCTTTTTGTGTACAGATGTGACGTAATGACTCAATATAGCCTACTAGCCGAGACTCCTTCTTTTTGTGTACAGATGTGACGTAATGACTCAATATAGTCTACTAGCCGAGACTCTTCTTTATGTGTACAGGTGTGACGTAATGACTCAATATAGCCTACTAGCCGAGACTCTTCTTTATGTGTACGGATGTGACGTAATGACTCAATATAGCCTACTAGCCGAGACTCTTCTTTTGTGTACGGATGTGACGTAATGACTCAATATAGCCTACTAGCCGAGACTCCTTCTTTTTGTGTACAGATATGACGTAATGACTCAATATAGCCTACTAGCCGAGACTCTTCTTTATGTGTACGGATGTGACGTAATGACTCAATATAGCCTACTAGCCGAGACTCCTTCTTTTTGTGTACAGATGTGACGTAATGACTCAATATAGCCTACTAGCCGAGACTCTTCTTTATGTGTACAGGTGTGACGTAATGACTCAATATAGCCTACTAGCCGAGACTCTTCTTTATGTGTACGGATGTGACGTAATGACTCAATATAGCCTACTAGCCGAGACTCTTCTTTATGTGTACGGATGTGACGTAATGACTCAATATAGCCTACTAGCCGAGACTCTTCTTTATGTGTACGGATGTGACGTAATGACTCAATATAGCCTACTAGCCGAGACTCCTTCTTTTTGTGTACAGATGTGACGTAATGACTCAATATAGCCTACTAGCCGAGACTCTTCTTTATGTGTACAGATGTGACGTAATGACTCAATATAGCCTACTAGCCGAGACTCTTCTTTATGTGTACGGATGTGACGTAATGACTCAATATAGCCTACTAGCCGAGACTCTTCTTTATGTGTACGGATGTGACGTAATGACTCAATATAGCCTACTAGCCGAGACTCTTCTTTATGTGTACGGATGTGACGTAATGACTCAATATAGCCTACTAGCCGAGACTCCTTCTTTTTGTGTACAGATATGACGCAATGACTCAATATAGCCTACTAGCCGAGACTCTTCTTTATGTGTACGGATGTGTCGTAATGACTCAATATAGCCTACTAGCCGAGACTCTTCTTTATGTGTACGGATGTGACGTAATGACTCAATATAGCCTACTAGCCGAGACTCTTCTTTATGTGTACGGATGTGACGTAATGACTCAATATAGTCTACTAGCCGAGACTCTTCTTTATGTGTACGGATGTGACGTAATGACTCAATATAGCCTACTAGCCGAGACTCCTTCTTTTTGTGTACAGATATGACGCAATGACTCAATATAGCCTACTAGCCGAGACTCTTCTTTATGCGTACAGATGTGTCGTAATGACTCAATATAGCCTACTAGCCGAGACTCTTCTTTATGTGTACGGATGTGTCGTAATGACTCAATATAGCCTACTAGCCGAGACTCTTCATTATGTGTACGGATGTGTCGTAATGACTCAATATAGCCTACTAGCCGAGACTCTTCTTTATGTGTATGGATGTGACGTAATGACTCAATATAGCCTACTAACCGAGACTCCTTCTTTTTGTGTACAGATATGACGCAATGACTCAATATAGCCTACTAGCCGAGACTCTTCTTTATGTGTACGGATGTGTCGTAATGACTCAATATAGCCTACTAGCCGAGACTCTTCTTTATGTGTACAGATGTGACGCAATGACTCAATATATCCTACTAGCCGAGACTCTTCTTTATGTGTACGGATGTGTCGTAATGACTCAATATAGCCTACTAGCCGAGACTCTTCTTTATGTGTACAGATGTGACGTAATGACTCAAAGACATGCTTGAATCTCCTGCAGAAATCCACCAGTACCACTGGAATAAAAAACATTATTACAAGTTTACCGCTTTGAAACGAGCTAAGGCAAGCGGATAGTTTTGAACACTGGCTGGTTATGTATTTTCTCAAATATGTATTTTGGATCATTTTTAACTAAAAAAAAGCTACGGACTGCAGCTTTAAGGTGTCCCTGTATATATATATATATATATATATATATATATATATATATACACTGTATATGAATTCCACTGTTTACAAAAGCATTCAACTGTTATCAACTTCACTTATACCTTGACCAGCTCTGAGAGGATGATCTCATACTGGTTGCCGAGGTCTTTGAGATGACTGAGCTGCTGCTCTTTGGCTGTTTTCATGTACCTCTCGATGTCCTGCAGTGCTGCTTCTGCACCTTCCTGGGTCTGGCATCTGTCTACCGCCTGAGAGGCCAACAGATACACTCCACTTTCACACCACTGGTTCACCTGCCAACAAACAAACACAGATGCATCTATTTGTCCCGGACCCCATTTAAATCACAGTAAAGTAAACTGTGCAGGTTATCTAATTTGTTCATATTCTAACCCCACACCAAAAACGACAAGAACTGTTCAAACGCATTCTCAGTCTCATCGAGCTGGACTAACAACCTGAGACAACTCCAAAACACGAAATGAATAAAGATACAGTAGCTCTGCTGTAATAACGTCATTATTTTTTATAATACAAATCATTTTATTCATTCATTTTACAACATGCAGTAGTGGCCAAAAGTGATGTCCGACCTAAAAAAATATTTATGAAATATTTGGTATGCATGTTGTAAGGTTGTGCTTGGAGTGTAAAACAATACCATCATATCATTTGTCATGACACAATAAAACATAATGAATTGAGCTGATGTCATATTTGGCCAATATCAGTGTTACACTCATTATTCTCAGCCTATAATTCAATAAATAACTATGTGGCATGTATTAGCTCCTCTGCAACCAAGGAGGATGTTGTTGAAATGGCTAAATCTACTCAGTCGGTTTTGTATATTCAAAGTGTTCATGCTCAGCATTTTGAAGTCCTCAGTCCCTTGACCTTAAAGCCACTGAAACTTTCTTGAAATTATAAACCAGAATTGTGGTAAGTCATGCAGGTCTTCCAATGAAGCTCAATTTTTGAGGATTGGGAAAAAATTAAGCATGACACATGCATACATTTTGTCAATGCCCAGGAGAATGGCTGTTATAAAAATAAAAAAATAAAACAAGGGAGAAGCAACAAAATATTAATAACTGATTACTTTGAAGTCAAATTATGTTCTATTTCCTGTGAGCCTTTTTCTTTTTCAATGCCTTTTTTGTGTGTGCATAATCCAAGAAAACCCATTTTTAATTATATCTGGGAGTTCTTGCCAAATTATTGCGTCATTTTAATCCCTTGTGTATTCTTCTTCCTGATTTTATTGATTGTGTAATAGAAGGGTGAGTGAAGGCTTGGGGTGGTTTAAACTTAATTCAATTTATATCCTCATAAAACAATTCTTATTGTTTTTTATAAAACAGTTAGTTCCAATCCTTGATTCTGATTGGTCAATAGCTGTGCTTTATTCATGCTTTATTTATCACTGCGCAACACTGTGGTTCCTATGTTGGGTAACACTTCACTTGAAGGGGTGTGCATAAGACTAACATGCACCTTCATAATCATGACATGACATGAGTGTCATTCGCTCAGTTATGACATTTTTAATGCAAATATGACATTGTTTGAGATGTCTTTGTCATGCCACCTTGACATAAACCAATACATCATAACCTGTCAGTGTCTTTGTCATGACAATTTGACATTACTAAGACAACACAACCTGTCATAAACATGATTTAGCAGCAGTGTTGTGCAAGTTACTTCCAAACTGTAATACATTAGGTATTACTTGTTACTGTTATTTAAAAGTAATTCATTACCTTACAATATTACTGTCTTAGAATTGTAATGCGTTACATTACTCATGTATTACTTTTGAGTTACTTTCACCAAAATAACTACAGAAGTAGAACTTAACTTTGGGGCTGTAACGATATGCAATATGAAACCGAAATCGCGATTCGCCACACGACTCAGATCCACGAACCTACAGAATCGCGACACACCTCTTCCAACTCCCAGCGTTATTCTCCTTACCGTCCAGATCCAATGCTACCTTATCTTTAAATTAGGCTATTAGTATTATTTAAAGTTAACATTATAAAATACGTAGACCTACACCACAAAACTAGTTGAGGATAAATTATTTAAAATTGGGGAAGTCCAGCATTATGGACATTACATTTGCAGTCAAAACTTGAAATAAAAATTCTCAGAAAATACATATATTGAAACGTATATAGGCTACTTCCTTAAAGGACTCCAGGCATTAGACAAATATCAGTCTATGTTTTATTTTTAATATTAGGCAAAAGACACACATTCATGCGTGACAAAAAATAGGAGGCAAAATATATTTTTTGTAATTCTGTTAATTACACTGCGCAAATCGGATGAGGAAGGGTTGGCTCTGCAGTCTCCATAGAACTTAAAATATTCATTTTATTTTAGTTTTCGTGTTCGCATTTATGAGGAAAAAACAATGTTACAGACGCGACCGCTCTGAACTGGCACTAAAAGACTGCTTTAAAACGTTCACATAGTCTGTTGCCTTTAAGAAGTAAAAGCAGACAATACACTGTAATACAACTGTAATACAAGCCTCACTGAACATGTAACGAGTAAAATATTACTGAAAATTGATTAGTAATGCCTTACACTACTGCGTTACAGCAAAAAGTAATATGTTACTGTAAGGTATTACTTTTGTAATGCGTTACTCCCAACACTGTTTAGCAGATTAATTATCAAACTTAAGAAACCACCTAGATTTATTGGTTAACATTACATTAAACTGTCAGGTGGTTGGTGTTGACATTGGCTGTCATGAAACCATTATAACATTTTAATGACAAATTCAATTGGTACCACTGTAGTTGAAGTCGTGAAAAATATTCATCACAAAGTTATAATGGCCTCATGACAGCTAATGTCAAAGTCAACCACATGACAGTTTAACTTAATTTTATGTCAAGTTGTCACGACAAAGACATCTTAAACAATGTCATATTTGCATTCAAAATGGCATTATTGAGCGAAAGCCACAATGACAATTGTCATATATATGTCACCATGCATAAACCTTACTTCATATTCAAGACATATGTCATGTCATGGTTATGAAGGTGTCATGTTAGTCTTATCAACACCCCTTCAAGTAAAGTGTTACCCAATGTTGTTTTTATTTGAGCTTTCATGCATATTACACATTGGAACGTTGTTGCTATTCACGGTCAGTGACTATTTTTTTTCTAGCGGAAGGAAAGCTTTTAGTGATTACACTTCATAAAAGTTGCACTAATACATATTTTTTTTACTTTAATAATTTTATTGTGTGGTAACCGTTTTATAAAAGCAATAAGGTACTCGAGGCAGGTGCTGTGCTGTATCGTGAATTATTAACGGCTGAAGGGGTTGCACGGCTAACAATGCCCTTCAGCCGTTACTTATTCACGATGCAGCACAGCCTCTCGTACCTTATTGCTTACTTAAATTTCAGCCTGTCAGCTGTCAGCCGATGACAGTGCTGTGTCGTGTTCTGAGAATATCAGCTCAAATGGATAGTTCATCCGAATCAGATGTTGAACATCATTTAGTTACCAATGATCGCGCGCGCAAACTCGAAAATCGACTACTGTGGACTTCGACCGAAAACGGGAAGTAAATAGAGGTATGTGAGCTGGCTGAATTAACATCATTTATATTAATATCTTTCACGTCTACTGCAGTCAGATTGACCGTGGTCACTCTTAATAACACCACTCCCATGGCTGTGCACTCGTAATCACAAATCAAGGATGTTAAGAGGCTAAAAGCAGGTTTAGAACATGCCCCATTGAAGTCAACCGGGTGCGAATTTTAAAAAGACGATAACACGGTGTAGGCAACACCGATTTTTGTCTGTACTGACAGCACTCCAAATGTACAAAAAATGAGCTCAATGATAAAACTGACCGGAGTTGTCCTTTAATATCTGCTAACACTTTTTTGTGATTATCCCCCAACAGACATTCTATTAACTACAAGTAACTTTGTAACTGCATGTCAACTTATTCTGACCCTACCAGTATACTAATACTCTACTAACACTCTAATGAGAGCTAGTAGACATGTAGATGTAAAGGTACTTAGTCAACAAAATGTGTTAAAGGGACCATGAAAATAAAGTGAATCCGAAACCTCAATATTAAAGGGATAGTTCACTTTGAAACTAATTTTTGATATGTTTTAGCTTACCTCAAGGGCATCCAAGATGTAGGTGTCTTTGTTTCCACAGTATTTTCAATTTTGACATTTTTCAGTCAAACTGTTGTTGTCTATTATTCATACACTGGAGGTTAAGGGGGTCCACCAAAAAGCATGCACAGAGAAGTCCAAATTAAACATGATTTAATGACTCGTAAATGTAAGTACACATTGATGGCCTAAGACACGAAACGAGCGTTTTTTGTGAGAAAACGAACAGTATTTATATCGTTTTTACTTCGTGTAATCACAGTGACGTCCAAGTGATCTGAATCAGTTGTGCAATGTCCAACTGAACCGAACTGAATCAGTTCAATGTTACGCCGGAAGTGATCGCTTGCGTGTGACGTCATTCAATATTTACACTGAGATTTCGGAAGTTTTAACATTTACTAAACATATTTATATATACCGAAATCGTCTTCCATAGTGGTTTCCCGTATATCTAAAAATGTTTAGTGAAAGGTAAAACTTCCAAAATCTCTGTATAAACAAAGAGTGACGTAGGCGTGCAAGCGATCACTTCCGGCGCATGCGCAGACCGAAGCGCCCGTGCCGTCAGATCATTTTGTCATGGCTATGTTTACAAGAGGTAAAAACGATATAAATACTGTTCGTTTTCTCACACAAACCGCTCGTTTCGTGTCTTAGGCCATCAATTTGTACTTACATTTACGAGTCATTAAATCATGTTTAATTTGGACTTCTCTGTGCATGCTTTTTGGTGGACCCCCTTAGCTTCCAGTGTATGACTGATAGACAACAACAGTTTGACTGAAAAATGTCAAAATTGAAAATGCTGCGGAAACAAAGACACCTACATCTTGGATGCCCTTGAGGTAAGCTAAAACATATCAAAAATTAATTTCAAAGTGAACTATCCCTTTAAGGTGCCTGTGTGGTAATTTGACTGCATGCAATTTGTTTCACAAACCTCGTCGATTCCTTTGTGTATTTCAAGTGATTTGGTTAGAATGTCACGTTTCTTTTTGGCCTCATTGCTGAAGTCATCACAGACCCGACGCAGTTCGACACACTTTGGGAGGATCGAGTCTACAGCGTAATGGTTGCTTTGAATGAGCTGGTCCCCATGCTGAGCGTGAAGCTGAGCTTTCTCCAAGGACTCCTGTACAGATAAGTAAAGAAAATAAACTGAAAATGAAGGATGTACACTGCTATCTTGACAAGTAATAATAGATACAGCTCTTCAAACAATCCAGATCAAAGTTTCAAAGCAGCTTTACTGTTTTAAAGAGGTAAATAACGATCAATGATGCAAATGGAATTGAAAGATTCTAGAAAGACAATAGTGTCAGCAGCAGCACTGTGTTTGTGTATTTGATTTTTTCCTGAAATTCAGTTTCAGTTACTGCGTGCTTTCAAACATCAGCACTTTTATAATTTTGACAAAGCAAAAGTATGCATTGTCTTTCTAGCAAGGATGGTGGATTTAGTAGAGTTAAGCTAGTTAAAATCACAGTGGTGACAAGGGCAAACCAACATTCCATGTTGGGGACCAGCATGCAAAAGGTATGGTGATTATGCTGATTTAAATATGCTTAAAAAAATGAAACATTAACTGTGCGTAAAAAAGCAAGTGTGTGTGGTTCTTTGTGGTGGGGACAGTGATTTGTGAATGTCAACATGTAAATTAGTGGTTTAACAAGCAAAAATAGTTGAGCTAAACTGAATTTGGTGGTTTGCATGTCAGGCCGGGTATTAGATTAAAAGAATTTTGACCTGAGCTTTGTCCTCCAAGGTTTTCAGTTCCCCAAGTAGGAGATCGACCCGGGCCACGCAGTCCCCGATGTCAGACAGCCCCAATAACGCTTCCATCAGGCCATCCAGAGAAACTTTCACCTGATGCAATGGATAAAACGCACCAATTTCAACCTGATTAACTGGACAACCGCCACTGGTGATACTTGGTTTGGTATAATGGCTGCCTACTAAGTTGAGCACAATTGAGCACATCCATTGCACCGTACCTCTCTGAAGTCCTGCTCAAAGTGTCGTAACTGTAAGCACTGCTCTAATTTGAGGTGATGCCTCGACCAGAACTGTTCAAACGCATTCTCCGTCTCATCGAGCTGCGCTAACAACCTGAGACAAACAAAGAAACGCTTTTAAAGTGTGAATGTCAGAGGAGCTAGACTGAATTAGATTTCACAGAGGAAGGTTAGATGATACTAGGCTTTAAAGAATAATAACAGAGTGTAACAAGAACTACACAAGTCTTTTACTCCTGATAAAAGAGCTGTAAAAATGGAGTAAATGGCACCAAAGTCAATATGTAGCCCTCAAACCGTATTCACTTTATAGCACTTAATCCTGTGTGGGCACAGAGGACTCAGGTGTGATCCTAATTTTTATTTATTATAAATGTTATATCACTGTCTTCGATAAAGTTTTGTCTATCCATTTATGGTGGTTTTTTTTTTTTTTTTTTTTTACATATTTTGGGTAATTTTGAATTTATTTACTTCAAAAAGTACCATATTTTCTATGTAAATTATGCTTATTTTTATGTTTTCTTTTTTATTTTTTTTAACTACATTAAAATATAATTCCAATAAGTTCTTAGAGCTAAAACCTAAAGATGAAGCGACTTTGCTGTCACCTGGTGTCTTATTTTGGCTTATTTTAGAATGCTCTAAATTACAGTTTTCCCATTCCTTTCTATGGGTGCCCATTTTTGACCCAAATACAAGATTAAGGAGTTTTTTTCACCCACATTGTAGAATTGAGTCAAAAAAAAAATTGTGTGTTCAGGAGGCAAACTTGGGAAAAGTAGCCAAGTCTTGAACCGCTCAGATCAAGGGTAGTATTTTTTTTTTTAAATAAATCAAAACTCTTTTGCCCACATTTGTCCAGAATACAGTTTTAGGGGTAAACAAAACAACTTTTATTTGAATGTTCCTGGTTATATTGTGAATAATTCATGGTGCAAGTTTAAAAAAAAAAAGTTCAATCTTTCATCAGAATGCTCTGTGACTATCTTTTTTGGCAAACCCCTTAAAGGATTATTCTGTTTTGCTGTCAAGTAGGAATATCAATCATTCAGAAATGTGTTACATTATAGTTCGTTATTAACGGTGTAACTTTTTGTGTGTGGCAAAACCTTTTTACACACCTCTCAACAGTTGTTTGGTTCTCTACCTCATCTGGATTCAAAACGTGGCTCTCGGTTTTGCTGGCCTGGTCTTTGATACAGGTCAGCAGAGTATGACCTTGTTTCACTGCCAATTTTAGCTCTTCCTGTACAGAAAGAAGAAATATGGCATACGAATACTGATTGAATCTGCAAATATGCAAAAACAGGCAAAATCAAGATAAATACAGATGGTGTTTTGTTGCTCCACTACGGGAGAAACCGAACGTCAATGAACTGATAAAAGGTAACTGACCGATTGCACAGACACAAGCAATAAAGTAAAGGAGACCATTATAATAAGGATTAAACAAATCATTTGATAACATTAGAAGCACTGCTCTATAAATGTGGATGGCTACCTTGAGCTTATCATGTTTTTCGGTGTGTGTGATAAGCAAATCTTTGGTGCACTGCACGTCATTGGGAAGCTCAGTTTCTGCCAGGTCCGTTCCAAACTGCTGAAGCATCTGTGCTGTGCTCTTCACTGTTAACGCAAAGTTCTCGATGGCCTAGGACACAACATTTTGAATTATATACTTATACTTTACATAACACTGGAAAAACAGATCTACTCCACAGTATATTATATATGGTATTTTGAAAATACATAGTAGACTGCAGTCAAATCTGTAAAAAATAATACAGTATATTTCCATTTGAAGTCATATTAATAAGCTAATTAAGGCTTTGTTTATTAGACTTTGTAAAAACTTCTCACTGTGCGATGGTGAATCCATTGACTGTGGCAATATTCCAGGCTTCCTCCCAAGTCACAGGTCAGCTGGCCTTTGTCAATGTAGCCATGCAAGTCTGACAGGGAATTTAGCATAACAATCTGTAAGAGAAGAAAAAAAGAATGAAAAAAGCATTTACATACATAATATACGGTGTGTGTGTGTGTATATACAATATGAGTGTATTCATGCCAGACATGTGAGTACTTTTAGCGAACAGAAACCATTTTGTTTCTCTTATGTGTCTTACACGGTCACTGTCAGTTAGTGTCAGTGTACTGCCTCAACCACAGACCACACACATTCATTTTCACAGGAACAAGTATTTTCACAACCTGTGGTAGGCTGCTTAAAGTATGCATGCAGACACATTTTACAGAACATATGTGGTAAAGAAACAGTTGCAGAGGGCGGTTAAAAGAACATTCTGGGTTTGGAAGTGAATGAGGCCAGTTTTGGAAGTTTAAAAGCATACATTGTAAGGCTTGTAATTTTGTTCTTCTGTTAAAATGTGTGTATTACTTGAGCTGCAAAATTGTTTACATTATTTTTAGTCATTTTGGGTTTTAAGAGTTTATGGTGCACAGTAACATTATAATGGCAACAAAGAGGTAACATTTTATATAACTTCACACAACTTTTCACACTTAAATCATGTCATCACATTGAAATCACTTATATTGTTTAAGACTTGTGGATGTACTATTAAAACTTTAGATTTTTTTAGTTTAACTCTTTCTCCACAATGTTTGCCACCACCAGCGTTTTTTTTTGATCATTTATACAAAAATGTCATTGCACCATACAATTTTTTTGTTGTCTGAACATGCATTAATTAAAGGGATAGTTTACTTTGAAATTAATTTTTGATATGTTTTAGATGTAGGTGTCTTTGTTTCCACAGCATTTTCAATTTTGACATTTTTTGGTCAAACCGTTGTTGTCTGTCAGTCATATAATGCAGGTATGGGGGTCCGCCTCAAAGAGTATGCACAGAGAAGTCAAAATTAAACATGATTTAATGACTCGTGAAAGTAAGCACACACTGATGACCTAAGACACGAAACGAGCGGTTTGTGTGAGAAAACGAACAGTATTTATATCGTTTTTACCTCTTGTTAACAGCCGTCGAACTGATCTGAATCAGATGTCCAACTGAACCGAACTGAACCGTCTCCAGACGTTACGCCGGAAGTGATCTCTCGCGCGTCTACGTCACGCATTGTTTACAAGGAGATTTCTGAAGTTTTACCTTTCACTAATCATATTTAGATATATCGAAATTGTCTTCTATTGCGCTTTCCTGTATATCTAAATACGTTTAGATCTTCACAGTGAAAGGTAAAACTTCCGAAATCTCCGTGTAAACCATAGGTGTAAACAATGTGTGACGTAGACGCGCGAGAGATCACTTCCGGCATAACATCTGGAGACGGTTCAGTTCGGTTCAGTTGGAGATCTGATTCAGATCAGTTCGACGGCTGTTAACAAGAGGTAAAAATTATATAAATACTGTTCGTTTTCTCACACAAACCGCTCGTTTCGTGTCTTAGGCCATCAGTGTGTACTTACATTCACGAGTCATTAAATCATGTTTAATTTTGACTTCACTGTGCATACTCTTTGAGGGTGGACCCCCTAAACCTCCATTATATGACTGACAGACAACACCGGTTTGACCGAAAAATGTCAAAATTGAAAATGCTGTGGAAACAAAGACACTTACATCTTGGATGCCCTTGAGGTAAGCTAAAACATATCAAAAATTAATTTCAAAGTGAACGATCCCTTTAAAGGGACAATATGTAGGAATAGCTGCCATCTAGTGGTAAAAATGTATTTTGCATTTAAACAAATTGTGCTCTCCAGTGCTTTGCGTTTTCAAATGCGTGTTGCATCTACAGTAACTATTATTTACCGAAAAGCTATGACAGGATTAGCACTTCATCAAGTGTTCCTTCTGGTGAACAAGTTTGTTATTTCAAACAAACAGCAACTTGACACAACGAATAAAGGAATGTTACAGTATGAATTACATACTGACTGTGAAAACATGAAATTTTGTAATAAGTTGTTAAGCCTTCTTTATTCGTTATATTTTCTGAAGTAGCCTATGTGCATTAGATATCATCAACCTTTAATGTTTATAAATGTTAATATGTCTGTATAATAAAGTACACCACCAAACCATGAAAAAAAAGCTTGTAATTCAGACTGTAAAATCGCCTTACCTGTCGAGATGAAAGCAGGACTTCAGCATCTCTTTTGAATTCTTTCGCCTACATTAGCGCTATCCCGACATTAACCCGTGTTTTTTTGTAATCTACGGTCACGTTTCCTTTTACGATCTATTTTTTGGACTTTTCTGGCGACGAGGATTTACAATGCAGCCTTTTTTAAAAACTTGCCGGGGCCGTGAAGCAGCTCTCACTGCTCTGCTCCTCCGTTTCTGCTGCTTTCAGTCACGTCACGCTGGCTATGAACGAAAACGCGCTGTGGAAAGCTTTTTACAGTCTATGGTGGAAATGCGTTGGCCTAGTACTTTTTGTCCCTCTCTGCTATTAGAGTTTTCCAAGATGGCGGAACTACATGGAAGCCTCCGTGGACCTACCCGTCCCATGTATATAAAGATAATAAATTCTTCGTTTACGAGGATAAGTCAGATAATTGGTGGAGGTTTTTATAGACCATTGAAGACATATTTATGAATAAAAATATTGATTTTAAATAATAAATTACATAAAAAAGTTAGACATAGACCCTTTAAAAGAAAGAAAAGAGCCTTTTTATCATCACTGAATGTGGGTAAGTACGTTTCATAAAGAGAGCAAAAAAAGTTGAGAAAATCACATTTTTGTCACATCCAAATCATATTCAGAAAGAGTCCATCAACACCCCAATGCTTGCACAGTCATATACCTCACCCTGTTGACATTTCATTCATTAACATTAGGCAGTTTTAATTTATATGCGGTTTAATGTTGGTGATCGTGTTATTTTACATAATTCATATCATATCATGATTGCATGTGATATCATGTTTCTGCTTCTTCACCAGTGTTTTGATCAGGATATTCAGTACTCTTTCAGAAGATGTGTAACAGCGCCCCCTATTCCGCATAGCAATGAATATGTCGGGGAAAGAGTTAACTTGTATGATTGAAACCAACCCATTTCACTTCCATTTATAAAATATGTGGAACACCAGCAGCAAATAGCCCAACTTACTGGCAGAGGCTATTTTCACTGACTCAAGCCAACATCATCGGATTGAGCAAGACAAAATGGCTAAAGAAACCCGGCTGACAATGTAATCAGTAGTGTGGAGAGTAAGTGGATGGCGTTAGATTTTGTGACCAATCAGAGGTGTTTTCAAATTCAACAGCTCAACAGCGCTCAAAGCGTCACATTTTTAAAAATTCAGTACCGACTTGCTACCAAAGTCTGTACTTTTGACAATTCTAATATTTGACATCTATTATAAATACGTAGCCTAGATGGTGTCTTTTTGCACGAAAAGTGTGAAGAAAATAAAAGACACTAGCGCAACACTTAATCTAGAACGTTCCTGTAGATGATCTAATGCACCTGCAGAAGACATGTTGTGAAACACATGTAGGCCAAAGTGTGAAATGTTCATTTCCTTAACGTCACAAAAAAAATTGCATGCATACAATATGCCAAAGCGAGGTGGCATTTACTGAAGTCACACATTCACATCACCGCTTTGATGACAAGCAGTACCTCCATCTTTCAAAGTGCTGTTAAAACAGGGTTGGAGGTCAACATCCTTTCAGACATGCATAAAACAAAAGGGTGACAGGCTGAGTTAATAATTTAGCGGGTGAGTGATCATGGTTTACAAACACTCCCTAGGAGCCCTGCACGTCATATGGCGAATGAACACACATGCTGAGGGTCTGGACAGACAAAAGCATGCTTACCGGTACCTTCAATTTGAAGTCATCCCTATGTAACCGCATACTGACATCAGCGATGGCCCTCTGGAGGAGGCGTGAAGGTTTCAGAACCAGCACAAGTTGTAGATTTCCTGGGAAGGAGCCCTTTTAGTCACGAAAGGAAATGAAACATAAGCAAAAATAACAGTTTAACTCATTTCCTTAACAATTCTGTGGCTATATGAGACCATATACTTCCAAACTATTCTGTATTTGAAACTATATATATATATATATATATATATATATATATATAATGTATAATAAGTGTGATTAATCGCATCCAAAATAAAAGTTTGTGTACATAATATATGCGGGTGCACTGTGTATAATTATTTTATATATATATATATATATATATATATATATATATACACATGCTTGTATATATTTAAGAAATATTTCCATGTATATACTGTATATAGATTTATATATAATTTATATGATATGTAAATATAAATATTTTATATATAAATATTTTTTTTCTTAAATATACATGCATGTGTGTGTATATATATATATATATATATATATATATATATTATATATATACAAAATAATTATACACAGTGCACCCGCATATATTATGTAAACAAACTTTTATTTTGGATGGGATTAATCACGATTAATCATTTGATTTATAAATATATATATATATATATATATATATATAATATATATATATATATATAAGGTAAAATATATTTATATTAAATTTAAAATCTTTTAATTAAAATTGAAATAAATAACATATAAAAAAATATTTTTGTTACTCCATTGTAAAAAATTAAATCACAAAAGTATTTTAAAATTGCAAAACATACAATTACTTAATCAATTCTAATAATAAACTTAAAACTTTTCAGTGTTTATTATAAACTTTGATAAACGTTTCTGTCACTAAAGCAAACGGAGACATCAACTTTTCAATTTTAAAAATATATTTTTTATATTTTCTTTTTTTATGCGTATAAAAATATGATATATCGTTAGTTATTAAATTATATTAAATTTGATTAAAAATATGACAAATAAATTCCAGCACAGTGCTACAACAACCATGAAATGAACCTTAACAAAAGATAATGAATGCTGAAGAAAGAGCAGACTCTTTCCTCTTGTCTGCATTTAAAAAACAAAACAAAAAAAAAAAAACAGGTGATTCTCCGGAAGTTCGAGTTCCAGCTTCATGTCACCCTTCCTCTCTCATTGTGACTGACTCATGTCTGACATACACGCGCCACTAGCCGGAGTAGCTTTTCTCTATTCACAGCTTTTTTGGAAAGATGTGCAGAACTGGTTATGTCCGCTTTTTGTTGTTTTGTTTTATTGTAGTCCTTTTATTCAGTTGGTTATGCTCAGCGGACCAACAAGATTTTGTTATATTCAGGGACTTGAATAAGTTAAGTTCCTTGTTTGTTTGTTTCTAAAGTTCAAGCAATCGAAAAAAAAAAAAACCCTGTTCTGTATTTACGGATATGATGAGACACGCACGGGTGAGTGAAATATTTACATAATATGTCCCCACGAAAACCCTTCTGATAGGTCTAAAATATAAACACTTATAATAGTGAATCAGGGTAAGACGAAATAAGTTTTGGAAGAAGTATGATATATTGACAAATATTTCTGTATCTGTAAACATCATGTTGAAGAGCTTGTTCTAAAGCTTCAGCAAGAGCTTGTACAAACCGCTATCCGTGACAGAGACGTGATTGCCGAGTTCCACTTGTCCTTCCTGCGGTCCAGGATGATGATGAAGCCGATGCTTGCAGCATCCATGCTTGAAGGATGAAGAACATAAACAGACTGGTCAGGCTTTAAAACCACAACTTTAAGACAGAAATCAAACATTTGACTTTACAGTAATTTCGCCGTATTTACAGTTGGTTTCAATACAGGTTTTGAAAATGATTCACAATGAAGTTTTAATCACAATAAACAAAGATAAATGAGGTTTTACCTTGGTATGCTGGTCAGGTATGTGATGACGTTAACGAATTCCTCATCCGTCACCTCGTTAAAACCTGAGAACTCTGGGAAGGTGATGATAGGAGATCCATCTTTTCCTCTTCCTCCTGCAAATATTTAGAGTCAAGTTAACTATTCATTCTTGAGAAAAAAAAGGTTTAAATATGAAATGGCACTGTGGTACTTTAAAAACATTTGTCTTTTCAAACAACATTTGTTTGTAATATCGATGAGCCCTATGGTTTGTGTTCACAGTGTTCTTGTTGTTTTTTTTCGGTCTTATGATTGACATCATTCACACTTAAATGGAAACTATGCACATGGTGTGAAAGTGCATGCAGCACAAGCCAGGTGTGAAGAGGTTTAAAACCATGACCTACTTTTCTTCTATTTATACATAGCTTTCAAATACATACATCGTGAATGGTCTTCAAAATAATTCTTAAGTATTCATCATATGCTTCTACTTTTTATTTGACTTATTTTATTTCAATTTAATTCACATATTTATTTGATTTAAGACAATCAGAACCACCACTCATTTCAACCACAAGGGGGCGACAGTGGTATGAGATTGAGTTGTGAGATATGAAATGTGCTATTGAGTTCTGACACATCCATCAATTATTATCAAACAACATACTGTTTAAAAAATGCTTGTTAAATTGTTAACAACAAATCAGACAAAAAGAGACCTTAATAAAATGAAACTTCATTTAACATAGACTATAACATAAGATATATATATGTTTATACTTAACTGCAAAAAGTGATTAGTTGAATTGACTTAAAGGAGTAGTTCACTTTTAAAAAAAAACTTTTGCCGATAATTTACTCACACCCATGTCATCCAAGATATCCATGTCATTCTTTCTTCAGTCGAAAAGAAATTAAGGTTTTTGATGAAAACATTCCAGCATTTTTCTCCATATAATGGACTTTACTGGGAACCAAATGGTTCAAGGTCCAAAAGACAGTTTCAGTGCAAACTGCAAACTGTTCAAATGGCTTTAACAAATCTTTTTCCGAGTCAATTGGTTCATTTCGTTCGTTAAATGAACCAAATGACACGAAAAAAGATTTGTTCATTTTGATGAACGAGTTTGAACAGGCGAGTCACGAACGCTCATCACAGAACAGAGCAAAGCGAGCATTTGTGCTTATAAAACTTAAACTTAGTTGTTGTTGTTTTTTTTTTTTTTTTCAAATGAGCGATTGTTTCACTTGATAAGACCCTTATTCATCATCTGGAATCGTTTAAAGCCCTTTGAACAGTTTGCAGAAACTGTCTTTTGGACCTTGAACCGTTTGGTTCCCATTGAAGTCCATTATATGGAGAAAAATCCTGGAATGTTTTCATCAAAAACCTTAAATTCTTTGCGACTGAAGAAAGAATGACATGGACATCTTGGATGACATGGGGGTGAGTAAATTATCAGCAAAAGCTTTTTCTTTTTTTTTAAGTGAACTACTCCTTTAAGTGTTTCCTCACTTTTTTAAGTTACTTCAACTGATCACTTTTTGTTGCCTTGCCTTAAATTAAATAAATAAGCCATGCGTACTTGAAAAACTTAACATAACATTGCAGTGCAGTACGGTAATTTACAACAATTTTAAGGCAGTAGGTTTTCTCACTTTTATTTTAACTGATCAAAATGACATGGCATATATTTAATTACATTTGTTATGATGTTTACACTACAAAACCATTACATTTAATATTATAGATGTACATTGGAGTCATATATTTGTGTTAGGTTTTAATTTTGCATGATAAAATGTAATATGTAAGGCCGGGAACATTATATACTTTTGATTAATATTTTTATTGTGAAGGGAGAGTGTAAGAATGGTATGTTTGTGAATTTATAACCTTTAAGGGTTATAAGTACGTTATCTATCAATGGTATCTGTAATTGTAATACAAATATAATAATTGTAATATGATGTGTTGTATTAAAATGGAAACAAAAGACAATCTAATAATAGTGAGGGTAAAATATTGTCTTTTTTTAAACACATACTGTCATATTTTCATTTTGGGCTCAAACTGTAAAAACCCCTGCTGTAGGATCACAAAGCCTGACGTATCTCCAAACTTATTATGTCATTTTAAATAAAATATGTTTAGCTAAATATTTGCCACTGTCCAAGTCAGTGTGAATACGTAATCGCTTCATTTAACAAGGATTCTTCTAGCGCATTGTGTTCATTCCTGAGGGGAATTCTGGAGAAAGATGTGTTTGTTTGCAGTAATAAGGCAGATCCACTCATGTCACATGTTCATCCATTTTTAGACTTTAGATGTCACAACTCCTCAATTGGGTGATGTATAGGTGATTTATATATATATATATATATATATATATATATATATATATATATATATATATAAATCTAATAGCATTAGTGAGCAGAAGAGACAAAACATTAAACATCTTACCGTTCCAAAACTTTTGACTTGTATATTGTACTCTGTGGTTTAATGATTTCACAGATTTTAATGACGCCTCTAGGACATTTAATTTCTGACCGTCCCCTGTGATTCACAGAGACCTAATAGACGACACCATGCGTTTCAGCGGAAAACAGCACTCAAGACAAGAGGAGTCAGCTAAATAGATTGCACAGAGTATGCTGGGATTGTTTTGAACCGTAACATTGCGTAACATTGATGGCTGGTGCAGGCTTCTTGGCAGATGAGGAGACAGGGAGGCAAGCCAGGCCTCAGGAGATCTGACTGGGGTGGGAAGGAATGGAAAAGCTCTCTAAAGAGCAGCGAGTCTGTAGTTATGATGTCCCTCCCACTTACATCAGCTGAGCGTGTAAGTTTTTCCACCCTGTTTCACCCTGTAAGTGCTAAAAGCAGTAAACACTTCTGTTTTTAAGTTAATATGAATTGTTTTGCATAGTTAATTACCCCTCAGTATCAACCAGCAGCTTCACAACCAAGGCTGGTTAAATTAATTAAAAAGTAGAGTCAATATAGAAAATGTGTGTCTCAAACAGTGTTTTTATCTCTGCCGGTTGCCTAATCGCTTCATTTCAAGTTCACTTCAATGTGAAAATTCTGTCATCATTTACTGTTTCAAACCTGTATGAGTCTCTTCTGCTGAACACAAAAGAAGATATTTTGAAGAATGTCGGTAACTAAACAGTTGATGGACCCCATTGACTTCCATTGTATTTTTTTTCCCTATGGAAGTCAATGGGGTCCATCAACTGTCTGGTTACTGACATTCTTCAAAATTTCTTCTTTTGTGTTCAGCAATAGAAAGAAATACATACAGGGGTTTCATTTTCAGAATTTTCATTTTGAAGTGAACTATTCATTTAAGCAGGATGGTGGCGTAGCTAAAGGCTAAAAGCATTAGCTGGTAAACAAATACGATTTTGGTTCAAACAAGGTTAAAAAAAGTCATTTAGTACTGTAAGTGTTCATTTAAAGAAACTGGTTTAATTAATGTAATTATTGGCTTAAGAACTGTAAAATGTTACATAATTGTTACATATTTCAATTATGCATAATTACATGCAACTAACCCTACACTAAGTCTAAAGGCCAATTTATACTTCTGCGTCGAGGGTACGCCGTAGTGTACGGCGTTGGCTACGCACGTAGGCGACGCCGTTGTGAGCATTTATACTTCTGCGTTCAGGTCTTGGTTGCTCTGCAGTACTGCTCCGAAACGCTAGTTGGCGGCGGAGAGTTTTAATGTTCCACTGTGTTTAGATTCCTCGCGGCTAGGTTACTACGAGTGAAAGAGAGCTGATCATGTTGGAATTGGAGCTTATTAAGGTGGAAAAACAGTTCACTTTAGTAAAATTACTAAAACTGAAAGGCAGAAATGAGAGAAGACTTCGGAGGAGATGAAACTTGTGGAAATCATAGACAGTGGTGGAAATGCGTGAGAAGGTACGTGCGGAAATGCGTAGGAGGAAATGCGATGCTACCAAGCCAACCAATCACCGATCTTGCGGTCCGCGTCGTCGCGACGTGTAGTTACATTTTTGAGGAGGTGCGCGTCAGGCGACGGCGAAGGGTACGCGGTATGGGACGCGTCTGTGCGTATGCTACGCCGTACCTACTGCGCGCACCCTACGCAGAAGTATAAATTGGCCTTAACCCTAAGCCTATAAATATACGGTAAGTACATGAAACAGGTTTAGGGGTAGGTTCAGGGGTAACTGGACTGTAAAAGGAAGCGTTACCTACTGTAACAATGACACCTTAAAAAGCGTTATTAAACGTATTTTGTCATTTAAACATTTTACAATGATTATGTTAGTTCTCGGTATTACGGTATGCAACAATATTCAAATTTTAGCTGATACAGATAAGCAAATAATTATTTTCAAGTTATACCTGATAAACAATAAATGGCTAATGTTAAAATTCCATATTATTTTGTGTAATTTATTAAAAACATATTTAAATAAATACAGAACAACCTCACCAGCAGAAATATATTATTATTATTATTATTATTTCCAAGAACACACACATCTTTCTGAAGATAAACAAAAAAAAAAATAAAACAATAAAAATTTTATTAATCAGGTGAATTAGGCATTATAATTTTACAATATGAAAACCAGATATTGATTTTTAAATTAGCTAAAGATTACATTTAACTTTGTTTTTAAATTATTTAAAAAGCTTTTAAAGATTAATGTTAATTGGACATTAGTTCAGAACAAAGATAATCTAAATTTAAATTTAAAACAATTTAAACATGCACAATTAAATATCCAATACCAACAATACTGATATAATTTAAAAATATCATCAGATAATCAATATGGAATCGATAAATTGTGCATGGTATTGGTATTACAAATAAAAACATTTAATTTCACTCAGTGAAAGAGAGAGTATCATATTGAGTGAAACAAAGATCTATGCTGTTTGACATTGAAACAAATACACAATTTTCACAATTCATGAACTATCATCTATAAGTCCTTGGATATCTCTCTAATCATTTTTATATAACATTCATCATGGGAAACCGAGATTCCAGTAGTCTATTTTCTCTGTTTTTAAGTGCTAATCAGCATCTGAGGAAATGGAGGGCTGGGAATCGTACAAGTACTGACATGATGTGATTTGTGAGCATTAGCATCAATTAACTGCCACCAGAGAAACCTGACCCACGTTCTTCCTCTCAACAGAGAAAGGGTCAAAGTTCAAAAGCATCACCAACAGCGAGTGAGCAGGGAAGTGTTTTGCTTTTGAAAAAAAAAACAATAAGCCTTTGTATCCCAACCTAAAGAGCAAACAGACATTCATATCTCACCTGAAAGAAGAGCAAACTGCCTGTGTAGTTGTTCAATTATATCGACAGCCAGTAATGGCCTGATCTCCTGCTGCATAATCTCATCTGTGAGGAAAGAGAAAAAAGAAATAAAATCACTGCGACATGCATATAACTTTGTAAAAATCATGTTCAGGATAACCAGATATAGTGTCACAGAGTGCATCAGTATCTCAACCCTTAAGAGTGAGCGTCTGCTTTGGAAGGAGTTTCCCCTGTACAGCTGCTTCCTTAGAGACGACCTTTAGCCATCAACACAGCCTCTGGTTTGTATCCGTTCATCAGGGAAGAGCTCCTTCAAACAAGCCATTCTTTTATGCCTTTGGCTTTACAAAAGAGCTCGAGCGCTACTATTCTCTACTGATCTGCTGAGGGTCACCCTAAATCCCAATGAAGTCTGTTGACGAACAAAAGCTCCTCTGTGCACGTACACAAAAGACTGCATTAACATTGACTTCGCTTTATCAGACGCTGTTAAGTCTTGTGAGGAAACTTGCTGTAGGCTACAAACAACGTTGATGGGTTCCTACTGAAATTTTGGGATGTAATCGGTGTGCATTGATGTTAGGAAGTCTTGAGGTAATGAATTGAAGTTTATATCCTGAAAACACTAGTCAAAATTTTCGACGGGCGGTGTGCCGTAAACCGCAGAACAACCTTAGCTTACAGAACTGAACATGTTTCTTTTTTTTTTTTTTCTTATGTGCTCACACATCCTTCTGGAGTGTGTTCTAAGGAAAAACAATGTGCGTGTGACAAAGGAAAAACAAAGGAAACAAAGGAAAAACAAAGAAGCAAAGGAAAAACAAGGAGCATGTGAAAACCAGATGTTATCAACTGGCAGTGGGGTCATAACCATTGATACGGACTGTACATGAATTACAACAAGAAGCCAAAGACTTCCCCAGTGGAAAGTCACAGTAGCTGGATCGTACAGGACTACTCCCATGACAGAAATAAACAAACTCTGAAACTTTTTTTTTGCAAATATATTTTAAAACATTAGCAAAAAAATAAATAAAAAATAGGGCTGTCAAACAATGAATCGCATCCAAAATAAAAGTTTGTGTTTACATAATATATGTGGGTGCACTGTGTCCTATAATTATTTTGTATATATATTAGGGCTGTGCAAAAATTAATTGCGATTAATCGCATCCAAAATAAAAGTCTGTGTTTACATAATACATTTGTGTGTGCTGTATATAATTATTTTGTATATATAAATACACACACATGCATGTATATATTTAAGAAAATGTGTTATTCATGTATAAAATATTTATATTTATATAATATAGATTATGTATTTATTTATATATACAGAATTTAAGTGCAAATAATTATTAAATATATACATGCATGCATAGGTATTTATATATACAAAATAATTATATACAGCACACACAAATATATTATGTAAACACAGACTTTTATTTTGGATGCGATTAATCGCAATTAATTTTTGCACAGCCCTAATATATATACAATTTAATACACGCCGTCGCACACGCATGTACATTTAAGAAAAAAATATTATTTATATATAAAATATTTATATTTATATATAATATAAATTATATATAAATCTATATACAGTATATACATGAAAATATTTCTTAAATATATACAAGCATGTGTGTATTTATATATACAAAATAATTATACACAGTGCACCCACATATATTATGTAAACATAAGCTTTTATTTTGGATACGGTTAATCGTGATTAATCATTTGATAGCCCTAATAAAATGTGTTTGATAATGCAAAATGTAGATAATGCATTAGAGTGTACAAGAGATTTACTTATTTTTTGTATAATAATTAGGGACATACTTATCAGACTGTTACCATTTTGTTTTTTTAAATTGGGAATTATCCAATACATTTGGAGTCCCACAAGTGTCTGTGTTAGGCTCTCTGCTATTTTCAATATAATTGCTGCAGCCCCTTGGTAAAATTATTAGAAATTTTACGGCACTGTGATGCCGATAACAAATGTGTAATCTGTTTCTGATGCTGAAAAGCTCCGAGAGTTCTTACCAGGTCAAGAAAATATGATCATATAACCCCAAATGTTTTGTACCTACTACATTCCCATATTGATTACTGTAACAATTAGGTCCACTGGAAGAAAGTTGAGGTGAGAACTCAAATGCAATTTATTTCCAAAACAAGATAAACAAAAGCATGACAAGGCATGGAAAACTCTAAACTGAAACAGGAGTCAGTCCATTGAACAAACAATAGTCGACCAAGACCCAGGGTAAACATAAGTTTAAATACATACAGGACTAATGACGAGACAAGGGACACCTGTGACCATTTAACCAATCAACCAATGACAACATGACACAACAGAACAGCGAACACAAGGCAAGATCACATGACTAGAACAGGGGATCAAATGACAGACAAGAACAGGAACAAGACACAAAACCCCAACCGTGACAATTACAAAGTATTGCAACTGACCTATAAAGCCCTAAATTGTTCAGCTCCTGTGTTTTTAACTGATCTTCTATTGCTCTACAATCCATCACGCTCTTTAAGATCACAAAATCTAGGCTTCTGGTAGGACCTAGGATTTCAAAGTCCATTAAAGAATGGAGAACGTTTTCACATTTGGGCTTCTTAACTGTAGAATAGCCTTCCTAATAATGTTAGGGGCTCTGACTCACTCTCCCAGTTTAAAGGGTTAGTTCACCCAAAAATGAAAATTCTGTCAGTATTTACTCACCCTCATGTTGTTCCAACCCCGTAAGACCTTCGTTCATCTTCGGAACACAAATTAAGATATTTAAGATATTAAGATCGCTCCTGCATACAGTCCATAGGCTTCTTGAGGGACTGGCTCTTGCTGTCCCCGAAAAGTCATTAAAGACATCGTTAAAATAGTCCAAGTGACTACAGGGGCTCAATCTTAAGTTTATCAAACGACGAGAACACTTTTGTGCGCAAAAAAACAACAAAAATAACGACTTTATTTCAACTATTCACTTCCTTCTCCATGAGCCTGTAAGTCAGTTAACGTAGTGTGATTGCGTAGAGCTACGTCACACGTAGGCTCACTATTGGCCGACGATGGTCATGTGTGTGTGATGCGTGTGACGTACAATAACAGAAGCTTACGCTATTAAACTAGTAACCTGACTCGCGCAGAGGGAGAAATAAACGAATAGTTGAAATAAAGTCGTTATTTTTGTTGGTTTTTTTTGCGCACAAAAGTGTTCTCGTCGTTTGATAAACTTAAGATTGAGCCCCTGTAGTCACTTGGACTATTTTAACGATGTCTTTAATGACTTTTCAAGGACAGCAAGAGCCAGTCACTCAAGAAGCCTATGGATTAGTATGCAGGAGTGATCTTAATATCTTAAATATCTTTATTTGTGTTTCGAAGATGAACGAAGGTCTTACGGGGTTGGAACAACATGAGGGTGAGTAAATACTGACCGAATTTTAATTTTTGGGTGAACTAACCCTTTAAATCTAGATTAAAGACACATCTCTTTAGCAAAGCATTCAAATAATACATCTCATAACCTTGTACTCCAGTTATATCAGATTAAAAGCACATGATTACCTTTTGCTTGAAATGTTATTAACAGCAGCTACGCTTATGATTTTCCATTTGCTTTATAAAAATATTTGAAAAGGGTAAAAAGTCATTGGCTTTAAAAAGAACGAAGACCCCTGAATAATCATCATCATTGTTTTAGAAGCATATTAAAGTCATTATGTACAATAGAAGCAGGTTTTCTATAGCAGGGCAGATGATGGTCAACATGCCATGAGATTAAACTCCACAGGTGACAGAAAAACTGCCGTTGGTTGCAGGCTTAAGCATGTGCAAATAACACACACACACACACACTTCACGCAGACTAATGCTCCACTGCCCTCTGTGTTCAGTGGAACTGGCTAATTGTCAAAGTATAAACCACAAATCACACTCTGACCTGAGTCTGGGAAGCAGGGTTGCGCTGCAAAAAGCAAACCCCAAGCCAAACCAAATATTCATTATCTTAATTTAAAGGGTAGATTTTAGATGTTAAAATTCCCAGATTGACCACCTTGCCACTATCAAATCAATGTTCTGTTTGTTTAAACATCCGGAATAGCCAGACAATAGTAACAAAGGCTCAGCCAATGGTGTGTGTTTTGGACATGGCTATTTGTTAACCAACCAATGGAAGACAAGAGTCTTCCTCACTTCACACACACAAAAAAAATGTCTGACAAAAAAGCACTGAATGATTTCAAAACATCTGTTTTTGGTAGACTGGCACATTTCAGAAAGTTTTGTAGAGCTGCATCATCCACATTTGGGAGTAGGCTATAAGTAACATTTCTACAAACTGGGGAGTTTCTCAAAGATAAATTGTATTATAATTGCAAGGATGGAGGACACGTTTGTCAACAAGCAGTCAATCTTATATTAACTAACCTTGACAGAATAAGATTCATTTCACACAGCATCCAACCCGATCTCACGGGAATTCGTACGAATTTTACGAGATGACCTCACTCGTACGAATTAGTACGATTTTGCTAAATCGTACATATTTTACGAATTAGCCAATTCGTATGAATTCGTATGGATGACCTACTCCTGACCCCGCCCCTAAACATAACCGTCACGTGGGTTTAAACAAATCGCACGAATTCGTACGAGTGAGGTCGTATGAATTAGTATGAATTAGCCACTTTTAAATCATTCGTACGAATTGGTTGTGAGATAGCGTAGGAGCATCACATTTCACAGAGCAGATTCACAATAGTATTAGTATTGATCACAGTGAACACGATGTGAGGTGCTTTGAAAACACTGGCCTTGCTTTAAGCTTTACTCAGGACATCAACAAATCGAAGGGAAACGAGTGTTCCTTTTACTCCTGTGTATCTCCTGCGTGTTTGTAATTAAAGTGAATTCGCAGTATTCTCTCCACTCACTTTTTCCAGCCACATGACTCTGTCAGTCTTAAAAGAGTTTCCTCCATGGAGAACCGAGAGAACAGTACCAGCTTCTAGAAAAAAATTCTCCAGCGAGCATCTGGTTGGGG